GATACTGTTTTATTTGATGATTGAATGTATCCGATACATACACAGCAGTTGAGGTAACATATACACCCCATGGATTAACAAGATTCGAGGCGACAACAGTGGGCTGACTTTGACTAATTGGGGTGTTGTCCAGTTTGAACTTTTCAACATTTCCTTTATTTGCATTGACAACATACAGGTATCCCGAATTCGTCGCTATGTCGTAGACGTTGTTGAGACCTGATGCCACGGTGGTGAGACTTGCTGTATTGCATACTGCATTACATATTGGTGATACGGGAAGGCACGATGTTTGAGCTGAACATAAAACAAACACATAATTAATGATATGAAAACTGGTGAAAATATAATAATAAGAAGAAGAAAACCTGCTTTATTATGGTAAAGCTAGTCTTAGTTGAAACATGAAATATTGCTCTGATTTGCTGAAGAAGTTGATATGGAAAAAATGATTATTCCTATCATGTTGAGATATATTACAGAGCTAGCTATAGAAACTCTTCGATAGAAAATATGGGTTGTATAAACTGATGCGATATGGAATAGATGCTTAGTGAAAATGATTTGTTTTCAAAGTTATTCTCAAATGTTCTGGAAAAAGTCATGGAAAAGTGAAGTTTTGACCAAACTTTAACTATCCGGGTAAGTGCTTTTTTTGTAATTTAGAATTTTTTGCTTAAGTTGAACTTTTTAACGACATAATGCTCATAAATAGTATTGAAAGTCAGTTGGAGTGGCTAGGTGGTTTGTAGAGGTAACTAACAAGCAAGACGTGTTCCTAACGAAATCCGAGGGATTAATAACAGTTGCTTTTAGCAAAGTGTTAGTGAGTAACTGTCGTCTTACCTGTTTCAAAAGTCGTACACATTGATGAATTGGTTTCACCGCAAACTGATCTTAGGTTTGCAGGTGGTAATTCACGTTTGCCTCGTCTTTCCAGATGAATACTGGCACTATTTACGTCATATACTGCTGGATTAAGTTTAGATGCTTAAAGAAAATACAAATTGTTAAAGATGTATAATTTTGATAAAGCGCCATTCGTAGTTATTATTCTTGATATTTCTACAGCCTTTATCCAAAAAACGGCATACAGTTTCGTAGGATAGTAAAACAAATTGTGGCTTGACAGAAAGTTGAGAAACAAGTGCACAATATTATGATATCTTGAATTAAATACGTCGCTTCTCTAAGTAAAAGCTAATGACTTAAAGTTTACATTTGTATATGTCGTACTGAAGTTAGCATGTTTATCGAAGTTGTAATTTCAACAAATTTTTTATCGATGCCACACTCCTATAAACATACTTCATCGAAGTTATAATGTCGATGAAGTGGGTTATCGAAAGTGTTTCGATTAAACTAAACGGTAATTAATTGATTACTCGAATGATATTATCAGAGTTGCGTTCAAATCTGTTAAAAAGAAAAACGGGATATTCTCATCGATTACATCTACTAACTTATATCGGCTGAAATCGGAAAAAATTAGTTCATCAGCAGCACTACACATAACACTATACATAGAGATAGGAAAGACATCTAATTTATTCAATACAAGGTACTGCAAACAGCTTTGTTTATGTGCTTACTCTCAATTTGAGGTAAATGTGTTATTGCTAATACCAATATAATTGTTGTTGTATAACGTATCATTGCCATCGAGCTAGAACGTGACAATCCAGAAAATTGTCGTGCAGGTAGCCAACGAAGATTCCTGTTGAAGAAAAAACCATAATAAAAAGACAATGTAAATTAAAAACCAGGCGTTCATTAGAACAAAGAGAACTGTGTGCCAGTAATAACTACGTAAAACAAGAATCCGACTAAAGAGTAGTAAGCGCAATGAAGATTGATCCATACTACACCTAAAAACAGTCCACGAAACTAGTCAAAAATTACTGACGAGGAAACTGAGGAAGTTCTGATGAAAATGAGACATCTCACAGCTCTACATGATCTTTCTTTGCAAAGTTACAGAGTTTACAAGAAAAGCCCTACATATTCATTGCCACCTTAGAGTTACAGAAAAAAAAGGAAAATTAATCGGAGTGGCTGTTGACATGCCAACAAGGAGCTATTACCACTCCATTGGCGCTTCAACAAGGAGCTAACTCCAAGGAATTCGAGGATTCAAATAGAATTTTGAGTTGACACTAGACTGTTACCCTACGAGGCTTTTCTTAGACTATCAGGCTCTGATTAGGCTTTTAGGCCTATTCCACTTGTTAAAGTTTTAGTCTAGTGTTTCGCCT